TACTCTCTCTTCTCTGCTACATATTTTAGAACATCCCTTGATGGTCTTGTGATCGTCTCTGATTGTATATGTAATCATTTAACTGGTTAGGACGTATCTTTAAATGCCACTCTGGCATCTCACGTTGTGTAATTGCTTCTTACTATCTAACTAGTCAAGACGTGTGTCTCCTCAGTAGTTAAAACGTTTGTCTTACCAGGAATAACAATGCACCAGTTCGTTTTTACATTTTATATATCATAGATGGATACATAGATATAAGCGTAGTAAATTACAGTAAAGTCATTCTCTCAAACCCCATCCAGTCAGACTCGCTGAGGTGAGTCTGCTCATAGAAATTGCTATATCTTTTCCCTTCTAGAATCAAACTGCTGTCTGACGAATGCTCACAAATATGATAGTTTTATACTTTGGGTTTTGGACCTTTAATTATCTAATTGGTCAAATATGATGTAAATAATTATAGAGATTGGTTAATTAAGCATGCAATCGTAATTTTCGAATCAAATGTTAAACATGATATTCTCATTCCCACGGAACCAGCTAATGTTTACCCACATTATAACTCCTTTTTATATACCAATCTGTCACTTATGTTTGAGTGTATTAGATACAACTTCTATACATTGTGTTAACTAAATTACTTCAAAGAGCAAATATTCTACAATATTGTTACACAAGACGGTGTTCAGATGAGAATGGAATAGGCTACAAAATTTGACCAGACAATTAAATTAAACTACTGATCATTAATATAGGATGTAAATAATTATCACATTTATCTTTTGTTTTGCCAAAGATTAAATTTAAAAAATAAGCCATGTACATAGTTTTGAGTCATATACGTTAGCTGTTTTAGTCATGTATATAACGATTGCATTGTTTTATTGTGTTTTTGTCTTTCTTTAACATTAGTCAATAAAATGATTTGTTGTTTAAACCTTAATTAAGTATCATGAGGTATGGGTGGCACATATGAATAATTTTAAGGTCATTTGCAATGACTAATAGCAAGATGGGAAGAATGGGGTTTATCATCCTACGTTGCTGCTCCATTCGGACTTACGTAGACTGGGAGATATTTTCTATACAACATTTTCGTGAAATAAATTATCAAGATTAATGCAGACTGATGTGGGTTTCAAATAGATAAATAGCGTTCACCTGGAAATCGAAAGTCTTGCAATTGGAAAAGAGTTATCGACAATATTTGATGTAGTAAGAGACGATGTTGAACACAATGCACTATTTTATCACAGAATAGGAAGAGTCATGATCAACCTCAACAAGACAATCAACTTAATGTACATGTAATTTAGGGGGGGGGGGGTGTAGAAAACTATAATCAAAATAGGCCAAGACTAATGATTGTATTTAATTGCATGACCCCCAGATTTCTCCTGAAAAGAAAAGGTAATAGTATTCACACTACGCAGATGACACAAGATACGCAGATATATCAGATCACGCGCTGTACAGACCAGGGCTGTAGTGATACGGACTTCGCTTTAAATAAACACACTAACTAGCATTAAATTAAACAATTCCAGACAAAATGGGCTAATGTGTTGCTTCATTTGTAGGAGGTTAGAAGAAAGGGGGTAAACGTATTTATCGGTACTTTTCAGTATCTAAATAGTATACTCCACAAAAACAACTATCAAACACTGGTAAATTTGGTGGGAAGAAAATAATTACTATATTTGACTGCGACACTGTTACAAAAACAAAAGTTCCAGGAACAAATATTAGCGAGAAAATGTAACCTGTATTTGTTTTTCGCATAATTTACGACAGGCAGTTTGATTTTTCCCCGCGCAGCAATTGTCATGAACTCTAACTGTCCACTGTTTATTTAAGTGTTTGTCCTATATCCATGTTTCGTGCACCACTGACAAGTGGAATATCACTGAGTAATTCCGTTGAATTTTCTAGGTCAAAACATTGGGTTTACTGTTATAAAATTGATTCCTGTAACAGCAGAATGTATTGTTGTGGACTGAATGAAAAAATAATTGTCCAGCTTTTAATATTAGTTAAAGTAAAATAGCCATTCATGAGAACGATGGCTTTATCGTTCTGTTAAAGGGAATATCGGTACACTAAATAGTGAATCCTGCCAATAGCTACTTGGATCGGGTAAAAATATACGAAAGACATCCGGCAGATAAATAGTTTAACAGGGATAATAAACTATAATACTCATTCGATAGAAGGTATTTGTATTTGAATGAACGCCAACTCTGAATAAATCTTTTATAATGATTCACAATACTCTCACCAGGAACAGATCAAATTTGACAAAAGCTTTTTACCATATATTTTTTTGTTTGTTTGATGTCACGCTTATATGGCTCACTTGTTTACACGCATAACGTCTTTATTTAATTCTCCGGGAAAACAGTTTACTTTGAAATACACTAGTGAATTAAATCAGTAGTAAAATCTCGGAGATTCATCAATAGATTACTCACATAGAGTGTAATATTATACTTTGCTTTATTTTTACTAACATAAACCCAATTTTCAAGTTTGCCAATGAATGCATGTGCTTCTTTTAAAGGGACCATCCCTATTTTAAACAGAGTCTCAAAAATAAATGTCCGTGTACGTATGAAATTGAAGCGCCAAAATATAGAGGAATAGTGTATATAATATACTTTGTCTCAAAATTTCAGCCCAAAATATTAAGTCGTTTGTACGTGAACGTCAAACCCGCTTATCCGGGCACGTAACAATTTTTTCGTTGGTAATCTATTGTCGTTCCTTTAGGGTTCTATACAGTGCATCACCCACGTGCTGTAATTGATATTGTCGTTCCTTCAGAGTTCTATACAGTGCATCACCCACGTGCTGTAATTGATATTGTCGTTTTTTTCAGAGTTCTATACAGTGCATCACCCACGTGCTGTAATTGATATTGTCGTTCCTTCAGAGTTCTATATAGTGCATAACACACGTGCTGTAATTGATAAAAGTCTGGTTTTATCTAGACACAGACACCGTATAATACAGCTTACTAAATGCCTCTTAAAGATTATCACTGAAACTGGTTTAATTGTTTTTCTAGATTAATACCATTATTGGCGCCCTGATAGCGGCACTGTGGCCGACTATTGCTTCTAATTTTGACAGTTAGGTATATTTTTTCGTGAAAGCCTATGTGGACACGGTTTTTCGTCTTATCCGAACAACCAGATACTTTCCTTGCCAGGCCCTCTGTCCTGCACCACTGACAAGGGGACAGTACGGAAAATCATGATAAACTCCCTTGACGAAAACAGGAAACGAATGCGAGAATGCGTCTTGCTCATAGTTTATACAGGCTATATTGTTTATGTTATGATTGGAAAATAAATATGGCACCTTTTTTAAAATAAGCAGTAAATAGAATTCATGGTGGGATTACATTCTAATATTTCTGAAAAATTAATAAAAGAAAAATTGACCGGGTATGTTCCAGATTGAAATAATTAAACAGGTCGCCACCGCTATTTTGTCTTTCACAAACTATATTCTCTGAGATTACACAATTCTCTGATTCTGTTATTCCCGGAGAAATACTGGGGCACATATTTACCACCACAAACATGACATCAAACAAGCAAAAACTTTATTGAAAAATGATTTTTCAACATTGATCTTTTTTATAAAAAAAATATAAAGTGTATTATGTTTGTGGTTGTCAAGCGTAAATTGTATTCAGATAAATGGGGACTAAAATGTAAAAAAATAAATGCGCCAAATGTTATGAAATTCGAATAATATGTTAACAGCTATAAAATGATAAGCGTCACAATGATATTAAAGGACTTTGAATTGTCAATAGCTCCAGTCACATATTTTCTGAATAGCATTATATCATTGATTATTTGAGGATTCGTCTTGAATAATATATTTTTGTTGTAGATTTTCATTATTACATATTTTCTATCGAATTGATTTATTTGATGAAAAAATACTTTCAATTACTTATAACTGTAACTGGGGCGGGGGTGGGATGTTCAGTGGTCCATAATGTCTGCTCTGCTCGTTATAACGTTCATCATTGACTCAAGTGACGTGGTTCAGGGATTAGAGGACGTTAAACACCATTTCATTTCCGTGACAAGAAGTGACATAGCCTACCAACCTCGTGGTTTTTCTTTCGTTAAATTATTGCAACAAAATTGCCCAAAATTACTAAGTCCCGTTTCCCTCTTCGCTCCATAACTTTAATATCTAACACAAAATTGCTTTGTAGATATATATAATAAAACTAGTGGGTATATTTTCGATAATTTCTTGAAGAAATATAAACCTTTCATTTCCAGGTGGGGAACGTCACTTATAACGTTACCAAAGGAATCCGAAAAGATCAATAATCTATATTGTGGGCCCGAGAGCTATACGTACTTAAAACCGTTTTAATTAAAACTATACGGTCATAACACAAGTGCCAAGTCATCTTTTAATCTTTTTGGGGTTATTGCTATCCAGATGAAGCCCAGAGTTATCTCCACCAGCTGAATGTCACATTAATATAATAGCCAATCAAGTAATATTATTTCTGGTCCATTTACACTTCTACCTAAGTAACGTTATGAGTTAGGCAACTCCCTTTGAAACAAAATGCCGTCTAAAAGTGGTGTTAAAGGGGGGAGTTTGTGGCGCAAACGAGATTCTTGCTGATTGCAGCGATGCTAAAAGTTACTTTTACCTTTTCTTACGTTATTTCCGAGACACAAACAGCACAACATGATCTAAAGAGTACAATTTGTTACACGTTACATTAAAACAGTTTGTGACATTCTTATTTCCGTGGGTCACAGTGGCTAAGTGGGTAAGACGCTGGCTCGCTAGCCTGGAGGTCGCGTGTTTGATCCCTGCATTGGCTGAGAAAGTTCGAGTAGTTCTAGATTGAATATATACTATACCAGCATTATTAAAATAATGAAAAACACATACTTTAATATACAAACAAAAGCAAAAGTTGCATGCTTTAATTAATTTTACAGAAATTATCAGTTTAAAAACAAAGATATATTTTGTTTAAAAAAAATCAATTTAAATTCAAAAACAGGAATATGTGTACAGTATATCAATTGCGAATAACAAAAAATGAGGATATCTCATGGATCCCTATTGCACAAAACATATGACTAGCAAAGTAACAAATATATGAATAACGTATATCAAAGAATAAATTTTTAAATAAAACAAGCCAACAGTGAGGCTGATGTCCCCCAACACACATTTTTTAATTGTATATATCTTTTTATATACAGCATCTATTATGTTGCTAAGCAGTTCTCAATGTAAGTAGTGTCACCCAATTAGAATCAATGTTGTCGAGTTCCAAAATCTTGACTAATAAAAATTGCTCATCACCGTATTGAAATACTGAAACTACACCCCGAGTTTGATGTAATGGAACTTTACACCACTTTTACCAGTCTCACTCAATGTTATGTTCCAAAACATCGACGCAGAAAATGTTCATTACTGAATTATTATTACGCCATCTACTATCCTGGAATTGTGCAAAAGGTCATTCTTTCCATAGTCGGATCTGGTACATGGTGGTAGCGATATATAACTGTGTATATCACTGTTCATGGTATATTTGTTTAGAGGATTGTAAGGGTTAGAGTCATGTGCCTATGTATCATCATCATCATCATCATCGTCGTTATCATCGTCGTTATCATCATCGGCTGTGTGGATATCATCTATATTAGTTACATCATCGTCGTCATCATCATCATCGTCTATTTTGGTTACCGAATTGTCATCAACTTCTGTTTCGTGGACATCATCGCCTTGGTTAATGTTACTTGTTCCAGCATTATGTAGTGACATATAAAAGTTTTTACTGGTATCAATACCATCTCTGTTGATTGGATCGTAAGGATTAGCATATGCATCTGTGTCGTTAGATGCAGTAGACTCAGTATTGGTTGTAGTAGAATCACGGTTGGCATGGAATATAACAACACTGTTTATTGAAATGTAGGAATGTCTCATATTATTCGTGGTATTACTGGCACGTCTCGGTCTCTCATATTTATGTGATCTACATTTATATCCTGTAAAACAAATAGATGGTAATGAAAATTGGAATGGGGTTATTTTATCGTCATTCTAATTTTACAATTATAACATAAAGCGTAAAACAAATCTTTATATAAATAATTACAAGGATCTTAGTTTTGAGATTATGTATGTCTAAGTACATGATGAATTTAGAATAATTATATTAAAATGTGCTTAAATAATACACGCTGCAGTCAATGGTTTAAACCACGATTTTTATAATTGTAATAACCACTTACTACAAACAACAATTCCTATTATCAAACTTGTTAATACCATTACTATCACCAATACTATCATCATATTTCTTTCAAATGTCGTCTTCTCTGTTTCAGGCATGACTATAAAAGTAAATTGCATACTATAATATGGGTTAAATCACCAAAAATGAACAACCGGTGGAAGTATAACCATATATACCAATTATACCATTTTCAGTTATATAAATGTTAACCACGTTTCAGCTATTTCAGTGGGCGTGTAAAACGTAATGTGGCCATTAAGGACTGACCATGCTTGAATAGGTAATGTAACCATGAGTATTGACCATACTGGATTAACTACAATATGGTGGGTGCTAGTTATACAAAAAGTAATGTAGCCATGAATATTGACAGCACTGGACTAGCTACATGGTGGCGGATGTTAGTGATAAGAGAGGTAATGTAGCCATGATTATTGACCATACTGGACTAGCTACACGATGGAGGATGTTAGTGATACAAAAGGTAAAGTAACCATGAGTGTTGACCATACTGGATTGGCTATATAATTATGTGAGTATTTAAACAGCATGTAGCTATAGGATTGTGTACAACTAACCTGTGTCAGATTGTAGAATTAATTCAATCATTGCAGAAACAATCTTGCCATTGGTAAATATAACTTCACATTTATAGACAGCATTATAATCTTGAATAGTTGTATTTAATATAATTAGAGATATCTGCCCTCCACCTAATATAGATCGGTTATTAAAGATCAGTCTGTCGTCATCTATAACTGAATTTACATCTTTCCAAGTGACGTCCCCAGGTTCATACTGTAATTAAAAACAAGTAGGTGCACTCTGAAGGTTCCTACACAGGTACAGAAAACAAGTTCTTATGATTAGTAACAAATCAAAAGTCTGATGTCCCGAAATGCGAACCCTACATTAATGACACATATTTTGTAACATCGATCTACCAAACCAGTAATCAGTACTTAAACTTAGCACCAATTACCAAAAACCGATTATCGCACTAAGTCGGTGGGTTGGGGCTATACATCAAGTTTCATCACCGTCTATGAATTATAATCAACGTTATCAGTCGCCAACAGGCATTGACCTATGCCATCACTTGCTTCTGCTAACCCTAAGCAGAAAGTACTAATCATGGAACTCGAGTCAAGAGATATATGCCAAGTTTGAGCATTCTGTCAATGAATAGAATAGGTTAATTGAATATTATATATAACATTTATTGATGAGAGTTTAAAAGCCTTTTTGCGATACATGCATACATGAGAGTGTAAATGACTCTTTAGAAAGCATTAATTAGCAATTTAGAGTTGTCAAGGATTTGTAATGTTTGTAAGATTTTAGCATACACTCGTATTGTCGATACATATTATATAGCATTTCTTGATGAGCGTGTAAATGCCTCTTTGTGATACATGCATACACGAGAGTGTAAATGACTCATTAAAATACAGTACATTACCATTCCGATACATCCACATACGTAACCTAAGGTGGCTTGGAAATGATATATTATATACATTTTCTAAGACATAGTGTAAATATATCTTTACAAAGTATTGCGTTTATTATCGAATTGGTTTACTAACAGACAATCGAAATGTTTTCTCTTACTTTAAATCCGGAGCTATTTGCACGGGTGAAGTTAATGATGAATGCCGGGAAGCTGTAGTAATACGTAAATACTAATGGTATCTTTTCGCCAATTCTACCATACATCTGCTGATTGTCCGGATCTATCATTCTGGGCTCTACATCTAGGGCAATATTAAGGAGACAAATAATAATAACAATGTGCATTAATGATTGCGCTGACCCCTTTCATATCGCATGCACTAAGCACGGGAAGAAAATCGATAATTCTGATACTAAGTCACAAACAAATGGGTTTCAAGTCTGAATTTGCACATAGTTAATATTTCCGAACTCTGTATCTCAATGAACAGTCACACTGATTTGACAGTTAAGCACATTTTGTTTGAGTGGGAGCATCTCAATGACGCAAGATCAAAATACTTCCACTGCCAGTCTACCTCATAATGGGGTTTAACGTCCACTCGACACAAACTAGGTCATTTCGGGACTAACATATGGTTTAATTTTATTTACATAATTCGCTTGCGCGTAGGGGTCTTTAGCAGTGGGAGGAAACCGGAGGCCCCGGAGAAAACCCACGAGGTTGGACAGGCGACCCTACTCCTTGCCACGTACAACCGGGGATTCGAAACGACGCCAGTCGACTCAATGACAGACTTTATGATACAGCGCGCGCACGCTAACCATTCAGCCATCCACCCCCCCCCCCCATTTGACAACCGGGTATATATTGTAATACTCTAGACTTTTAAAAAGAGACAGTTTTTTGTCGTAAATTCCGTCTGCTAAGGGTTATTTCAAGTACACACCATTGTCTACATAGAACCATGGTGTTCTGTCCCATCCGAACAATTATTTATTGACCCCTGCCAGATCATCTGTCCTGCACAACTGACAAGGGGAGGCACGCTGGAAAAATCTTACTGCCACCGTCTTCGGAAAGTCACCAACCTCCGAACGACCACTTGCAGTGCTTCGTTGAGCTCCAGTAAATTTATTGGAATGATATGAACCAGCTCTAAAATCCTTAAATTTGTTGATGTTTGTTTGAATCAATCAAACCTCAGAAATCCTTTTTAATATATAATTTAAAAAGGGGAAATGCGTAACAAAGTTAAGGCAGCCATAAGACAGATGAGCCCAATAATACCACATATCATGGTCCAAATCATCTACCCCTATCAAATCTATGAATATAAACAACTCCGATGTATCAGAGAAGTCTTATCAGCTCGTTTAACAGTTTATCCAAATTAAAATTTTTAATGTAACATCTATAGGTTCTACACAGTGACACAGTCATTACAATAACAATCTCACATACCCTGAGTAAATATTAGCTTAGTCTCATTATAACCTGTCAGACCATCACTAAAGGTAATATTACAACCATATATAGTATTAATGATAGGAAACAATTCATGGTGAAGTTAGATCTGCTGAAGGAAAAGCCTATTCCAAGTCTTCACTTGTAGGCTTTCGAGCCGCAAACCACCGTTATATTTGTGCCACACCATTTGAGCAGAATAGTAACATTCTAATTCATAAATAATTTAATTCACCTAATAATGTCTTTGTATCAGCCGTGTGAACATTACAAAAAAGACGGCCCCGACCATGCACAACAGCACGCACCAATTTCTGATGACGCAGATTTGATAAAACTAAGGCATCATCTCCGCAATGCAACACCGTCAAATTTACGGAGGGTTAATGAGAAGCATGCAATGCTCAATAAAAACACATTTAAAGACATAAATCATGAAGCACGCGAATACATACAACAGAAGTAAACATTTTTGACGTAAAATCATCGTGGCGATGTATCAGACACATTAGTCAAAAGAAGGATTTATGCCACTAGGGGCCAATCATGCCAACCCATCCAGATTGTCCAAGCATGTTTCTGTATTCAAAAGAACATGTTAATTTTAATGATAAAACTTGGTGCACTGTCAAGTCACTATGGCAAAATTCATGATGAAGAATATTTCAATATTAGCTGACTTCAGCAAGATATATACGAACCACTGTGTGCAGTCAACAGCAATAAATTTATTGCCCTATGCTGCAGGACAATTTGTACTTCTCGGACATAAGAATGAACAAATTCGTAAGAGCATATAATAATGTTTCTAGTTCCAAACAGAAACACTAGTATTCTAATAGTTTGCACTTAAATGGGCCTAATCCACAGTCTGCACCAACGATAGTATCTCTCTCAACTTTGCTAATTTATTGTAACTCCAACATATGTGTGTCTTCGCACAATTGCCAGTATCTGTCAATGAATGCAAATGGTATGTTTTCAATTTCCAATGCTTCTGTGGTTGTAAACATTTATTTTAAGCACGTTATTTCTCGCACAATATCAGCCTCACGACCTGATGATTTCCATCCTTTTGTTTACTTCAAAAAGACAATTTTGCAGGGTAGCCTAATAAGAATCGGGAATCTCATTACATAAAAATACACCAATGTACGTATATGATGATTTATCTGTAAATTGTTGAACAGGTGATATTTTCTTCATTTATATAAACGTATCATATTGGATTTGCTGATAGTAATCGTCTGCCAAAGTTACGAACAATTCTTGTAAGTAATATGGTATTTGTTAAACGTTGGCTACACACCAGTTTGATATCAATCTCTACTCGTATGCTGCTGATACACACTAAATCAGTGAGTTTGTCTACAGAAACGACAACTCACAATATGTCACGGAGACCGTTATTGCTGTAAATAATACGGTAGAAAAAGTCCCGCCACCAGTTTTCGGTGATCTTCAATGATTTTGGGAAGTAAAATATTTAATGTTTAGACCCCTTTGTAGGCGATATGTCCACTGGTTCCTGTTTAGTGTTATGAGCTTTTATTAGACAAAAGTTACATGTCCACAAATATCACTTTTGCATACTAAACTTTTACTGAATGAGGACATGTGCTATACGTTTTCATGGCAATAACATGATACTCTAATTAATCTGGACTAACAGTATTTACACAGTAGAAGGGCGCATGTTTATGCTATTCAAAAAGGTCAAAACATCATTTTGACCAAAACTGCACATTATAACATTTACATACTTAGCCATCGATATGTGAATTTTAAGTGTGATACACAACTACTCACCTTCTTGTAAACTAACTGGTTTGTGAGATATGATACAGGTATCACTGTATTTTAACTGTAAGTGGTATTTATATTTCAAGTCATCCTCTACTAAGGTGCGTAAGTTAAATATAATTTTTGTTGAGTTATTGGTAATCAAACGAAGGTCCGTTCTGTCATCCTCTACTAAGGTGCGTAAGTTAAATATAATTTTTGTTGAGTTATTGGTAATCAAACGAAGGTCAATTCTGTCATCCTTCCATCTTGCTGCTTCAATGCCATACTCCCACTTAACAAGACCCTGTGTTATGAATGTAAACATAAACAATTAACCACCATTATAGAACGTAATGGTTGGGAGAGCTGTTGGTCGGTGAGTAAAAAGTAGCCCGTTAACCTGTGACATCTGTGTTCGATGCTTGTGTTGCGAGAAATTTCATCGGGATTTTTCCATGTGGTCCCCGCTTGCCAGAGAATCCGTTTACACATTGACGTGCACGCAAAATAAGCTTTGGAATTCGATAGTAGAGTAGGATGTAGTGCCGTTGTTCGTGCATATTTGACCCCATAGCACACTGTATGGCGTTTGCAAGTCATACTTAGCCCAGTCGGAGCAGAACAATAGGAGGTTAAACCACAATCCATTTCATCTCTGGTAATGCCTGCAATCAGATTGACGTTGGTTCGTTCAGATATGGCCAGTCTGATGCCTTTTCTGAAACTCCAAGTATCGATAAAGTGTTACTAGTGAATGTCTGTTTTACCAAATCTCCCCAAATTTGTCAGATGATTGAACACATAGCATGCTAATACGTCAGATGAAGGTTAAAAAGGCGAATTCGCTTACCCGTCCCCCCCAACCATGGAGCACAAAAAAGCTGTCAATCGTATCCTATGTATGCCACATTTAGGTATATAATTTTAATTCGTAACCACATAATGCCCGTGATGTGTAGGAACTAATATGAGATAATTGTGATTTACTAACCCGTCTGGTGTCATCTTCCATGGATTTTCTAAATAAAAAAATATATTCAAACTCAGCCTTGGATACATATTCCTATTGCATCGTTATATTATTTGCCACGCGAACCTTCATAGTCGCCATATTACTCTTCCACTGGAAATCTATAAATAACATAAATAAACTTAATAGACCTTAATAAAAATTATATACTGGAACATGGGCGGCTATTAGTTCGAAAGTTAAAACGGTCTATCATAACTGACCGGTCTTACACTATGGCCAATTTGTTAAGCAATAGGTTGTGATTGTTGGAGTGTGATGTCTTCAGATATTCATTAACAACCACTCCCATAATCACTGAATCTATATTGACAATGCTTTATGTTATTTGCTAATATTTATTCCATACAAACAAACACATTATGTCACAGTCCAATTTTATGATGCTAGGATATATGAAAGTTATATCTAGACCAAAGAATTATATTTATTTTTATGCTTGTGTAAGAAAGGGTTGGGTGATATTACCAGAAATGTCACTTTCAGTATACTAAATTTGTCAATACTGAATTTTCTTTTGTTTATGTGCGTAACAGTATTTATATATTGTAATTTTTTTTGAAAAAATTAAACAGTTTGATCGATCCAATGGCAGTAAAATTGAAGCATCCCTAGACTGAATATATTTATATTTATGAAAATTCGAAAATGAAACAAAATGTGCCGTCTTTCTTTTCTACACCAACCGCATGTTTGAGTGCAATTTGACCCTAGATTTCGTCGACTTCCAATTGCAAAGGGTTGTTTTACATGCATGTCCATTCGAAATACTAGACGCTTTCTCTTGCCAGTAACAAGGTTAAACAAGTATATTTCCTGGCCAACTCAATAAGGGAACTCGTACCCCCCTGGTTAATGAGCCAGTGCCTTATTCACTGAGCCTCCGCAGATCCCTTTAAAAGCAGAGTGTTAAACCACATTAAGTTGATTGGGATACCTAATAAGAGGAAATAAACCAGGGGTTAAAGTGTTGACATACCAATAACGGCGAGGTTAATGTCTTTAGAGTGGTCTGTCAAATCTACTTTACATCTATATATACCAGCATCTTGTAATGTCACATTTGTTATATTCAGAGTAATGTGCTGTCCTTGTCTGGTTGTAGTCTTCTGTATTTCATACCTGTCCGTTTTATCCAGTCCATTTTCCGTGAATCCATTAACCTAAATTATACAATGATATGGAATAATGTGGGATATTAAGATATTTCCTTAAACTCTTGTTTTTAATATTAAGTCATTTTCTAATACTATCTGTCCTTTTCTAATATTTCTCCAAGTATCCTTTCTGGATTATTTGCCGTTGATGGTGATATGTGTTCAAATATAATTGATCAGTAGTATAGAGAGAATGTAGCACAACTACATTCACATAGTCTGCTTAATTTGAGGATGTGGGTGAGTTTATGGGATGGTTAATGCCTAAGTGGTGGCTATTCAAAGTTTAGCAAATAAAAATACCCAGGGTCATTGGCGTAGAATCGAATGTGATCATACATTTTTTGGGATAATAACCGAACTAATAATTGTCATACATTGTCGTATTAACCAACTAGAATCCACACTGATAACAAGACATCTGCAAATTCAACAATGCTGTTCTCGCAAAATGGTCGGAAATAGTAATCCGTTGCATACCTATTTTCTGGGAAGCTTTTATCTGTTTCTAAAAAAAACAGGCAGACAATGAACGGATACAAGTCTGACATAGGGTCATAATATAATATATAACTCTACCTTTAACAGAGAGACGTCATACTTTTCAACATGTAAGTCGCAATCCAGTTGAGTATTGCAGCCAGCTAAAACAACCGGTTCACTTTTACCAGTAGTCACCCAAACAACCGATTCAGCTGCAAAAAATCAAAACAACATCACACGCCCTGACCCAAATGTACGCAGGCAATGACTTATATTGTTAATTTTGTCATGATAGTCGTATTGTTTGCGGGACGAAAGAGTTCCAGTAGGTATGGAAGACCAAATGGCTCTTTATTCAGTGTTCTTAATTCATAGTCCTTAATTCTCTATTTGTTGTCGTACTCCGACATTTGTACATTAAAATTAACATTTGTATCTTAAAATCAATATTTGTTTAACAAGTCAGACATTTGCCATGAAAGATTTGTATTTTGGTTTAATTTAATTTTAGTTATATTAAGATAACACTTATTTTAGAAGATCAAAATATTAGCCCACATTTACATTTCAACAACAAATTTCCAAAATCAAATCTTGCAAAACATTTCTAAAAAAAACATTGCTCCAAAAACATTTCTCGAAATTCATCGAACCGGAACAATTTGACAACATGAGCGCAAATCGACCTGACATGTTGTTAGTTAGTTGTATTTTACGTCCGCTTCCACCGAGGTGATATCGCAGACAATAAGTCACTATAGAATAATGGGGAATCGAGAAAGCATACAATAATAACAATCGCTCGATGACTGTGACTTGAGTGAAAGCACGTGCCTGTTATGGATAATCCATAGAGTTATGTTGCTACAAATATTGGTTAAGCGGATCTAGCATTAAATAAAATATTGGTTGAATTTTTGCTTTTTAAATTAATAATAGCATTATATTATAACTAATTATTGGATTCAAACTTTCTGTAGTGGTCAGATCTAGTCAGATATGATGAGTGACAGATTTACACATAAACATACATACAAAACTAAAACAGGGCTAGTCCTATGTGAAAACAAAATATCACCAGATAACACGTGTGAAACTTTTGGTGTAAGTTTCCACTGTCCATATAAGGGTGATTTTCGGCGTCATTGGGCTAATTAACCAATCGTTGTAATTAATTTCGTCATATTTGACAAATCTACAAGACTATCATATCCCTGAGCATTCGTCAGACAGCCGCTTGATTCTAGAGGGAGAAGATGTTGCAATCTCTATCAGCAGACTCGCCGGTTTCAGAGAATAATTTTATTTTAATCTATGCTTGTATCATATGTACTCAGTGCTTAATATAAAACGTAAAATACAAACTGATGCATTGCTATTCCTGGTAAGACAAACGTCTTAACTACTGAGAAGACACATTTCTTAACTACTGAGATAGGGAGAAGCAAACACACGACTTGAAAAGGAAGCAAAGAAGATAATTGAAAATACTAGACGATCACAAGGCTAATAGGATATGTAGTACGAAAGGATGCATGTGCCATACGTAGGATGTGGCGACCGGTTTGTCGGAGGCCAGCTTTCTACGTTTGACAAAAGACTCGTGGTGCTACATATCGTCTTTTATTCTAAGAAGTATCCATTTATAAGATAATCTATACCCACACTTTTTTCACGCTTCAAACGCAGAATAGTCTCTTCAATTTCTTTTGTAGTTATTGGGGAATTTCAGATATGCCAGTATTTTCAACCGGAGTACTTAATTACCTAAATACAGCCGGGGTGTATATTCATTATCATTATTCATTAACCCCCTAATTAAATAAAACGAGTGACTACGGAATAATTTTTGTAATTTATTTAATTGAAGATCCAATTTAGATTTTGATTTATAACACTATAACAAAGACAGTCCTGTAGCCATATTCCCCGTGTCCATTTGATCAGAATAAATGAACAGTAAACCTGTATAATATATCGCTTTCTATGAATTCTAGAGATAATTAATTGTCGACTTTTACGAAACAAAATGGTTTCGTGGTGGTACTTCTGGATGTCATTAACAAAGCAACTACGTCGAATCATCTTCGTCGCTGACATAGTTCGTTATACCTAGAATCGAATCCAGAGATTGATGCTGCCAAAGTGTTCTTCTTTCCCAAGTGCCGTCAACTTTGTTTTCAAACCTGAAAGAAACAGTAATAATTCTAATGTTATAATTAACATTTATTTTAGAAACTTCGTCGTTTCAAAAACCTTCCAATATATAGTCTGACATAAAAGTCAACTTTGATATGTCACTGGTATGATTTATGATGATCCAAACCCTATCAAACTAAAAAAATATAACAAATTTTCCTTTAACATCGTGTCAAACATCAACGAAATGCTTCATATTCACCTGGTTTTCGCGGATCCATTTACCGATTGGAGTAGCCAACTGTATATCATATTCCTGGAGTCATCGTACAGCGCGAATGAGACCGCCATTCTGTGGCTAGATGATGGATTTGACTCCATTACTCTAAAATATATCGTAAAAAATATATTATAAAAAAATGAAATCGGAAAAATCTCACTACGTTAGATTAACAGTAGACCTACGACTAAAGTTGGACTAATTTTAATTAAAATTTTGTTGGTAGGTAACTGAATTGAATAACAGACTATTTTATGTATTCACCCAAGTGTCGGCGCAAGTGTACACGTGTAGGTAATCTCTGATTAATCAATACCGACTAAACGTTGCACAGACATAGGATCATAAATTAATTAACACCTCGATGTTAGGATTGCTACCAGGATTAAGAACGCTGATAAGGTATTTATCATTTTTATGTCGGCCAAATCAAAGATATAGGTTCACAAAAATCTTGTAATATTCTCCGTGTTGACTTTGCAATGCAATGTGATAAACACGAATTAAGGCTTACCTTGACTAATTGTATATCAAATAAAACTTAGCGTTGTGATCAGGTGTCACATGTCTTTGTTTTGACCTGATCGTCTAGGGATTGGTTGAGACGGGACTGGTTACTGCTGTATCTCTCTTCTTAAGGACTTTACCATTGTGTTTTCTCAGTACGGATACCACATCAAATATGTAACAGGTACAACGATTTTTGTTGCTATATGTTTTTATATCACAACCGTTGAACAATAATCTACATCACAATATTTAAAATTAACATCTATTTCTCTCAAACCCAACTCCTGTAAAAGTCTAACAAGCGTGGCTAGGCTCACAATGAAATAGTCGTCTTCTAAAGAATCTGCCTGATGGCTGGTCTTCTAAAGAATCCAACGATGTCTCGTCTACTAAATAATACAAAGTTGTCTAACTATTGTACCCCTCACCCCCCCCCCCCTTTATAGGTACCTACCCCTAATTGATTTACGTCATAGACTGATAACAGCTAAATACCAAATATGGAATAGTTATGCACTCGCAAAACGAAAGTCGAGTTACCTTCACACTGCCGGGTAGGACTTTATTTTGTAATATTGCTCTCGTATAGGTCACACGTTTGTAACTCACATTTTTATCTGAAAGCGAGGGTCTCAGTCACAACGTGAACACTGTCATGTTCCTACGACAGCTAAGCACATTTTTGAGTGCAATCATCTCACATATGTTAGATCACAGTTTTACCTGTCATTACACCAAAGGTACAAGACTTTTTAAAAGATACATTTTTATTACAAATGTTTATTATATTACCTGCATAGTTATATTTATCTTTTATTTTTAAAACTACTGTGAAATTTATGGTTGGCGCGAATATAGCCCAGTTGGAGCTGGCAAGCCATAACATTTTATTTCATTCATTACATTAAATGGCGAAAAATTATGTGTGACCATTTGTTACTACAAACATAACTAGGGTGTTTTCGGTTGACCTTCTCTCCGCACGACCTCTCTTGACAGTGACATTTAAATATAAATTTCTTAAAATATACTGATACTTTAGACCTAACATAATATGTTCTCTCAATTGAGGACACAAGCTTTCAATTAATTGTTAAGTATCTATGTCGACTCTGTCACACATACACTACGTGGTTTTCTAAAGGGGTGTATACAATACCCACAAAAATATTAAGACATTAAACGCCTGAAAGCGGCGGAAATGTTCGACAGATATGTTATTTGTAATCTACATGTATGTGGTGTAAACTGTCAAATTGTGATTCAAATGACTTTAGGCCAAAAACAAATGTGTTTCCAGTATAAATCCGACCGACCCATTACAAAACCTGCTGACTCTTAAAGATTTTAAGGGAAATGAACACCTTTTGTTCACTGAGCGACCATTCAGAATACTCTAAGCCTACCTGATTCTTGAAAATGCCTATATTATTTTTTGTTATAAATGAATATGAATGTCATCGTTATTTGAATCAGCATTTAAGGATCGGAATAGGAGGGTACAGCGAACGTTTATTAAAAAATGCCATACTGTTGAAGCAAGATTACTAACAGGTTTCGGATAGGTTTAACACTGCACATTCCGAAAAGCTATAATCCTCACAACTTTCGTTCTAATAATTAACAGCACGCAATTAGACAAAAACAAGTGAATGCATATTTCAAATAGGTGGATAGGATCTACTCGATTGGTATTTAAAACAGGGGGATCACGGTGGCTAAGTGAGTAAGACGCTGGCTCGCTATCCAGGAGATCGGGTGTTCAATTCCTGCATTGGCCGAGAAAGTTCATCTAGATTTTCCGGTGTGGTTCCTCCTTGTCAGTGATGAAGGATGGAGGGCCTGACAAGGACAGCTGTCTAGTCGTTCGGATGGAACTTAAAAGATCCCTTGACAGTTGGAATTCGATATAAGTGCCGCTGTCCGGGATTAGCCCAGTTCGAAGCAATAGGACGTTAAACCCCATTTCATTTCGGCATTTAAAACACGACAAGTAAATTTATTACGGACCTATTTCGTGTGTGACCTAGCAGCGGGTGCGAAGTCGGAGGAGAATGCATTGCATACACAAGACGATGTTGTCTTTAATCGCTATCCATTTATCATAAATATCGAAGCCTAATTAAATTCTCGGATTATCCACTGCCCGCATCTTTTCTTGGACATTTTCCTTTCAGTGATGTAGGACAGAGGATCTGACATTGACAGCTGCCTATAGTCATTCGGATGGTAGAAAAACACCAAGGTCATGTGTACACCTTGGAAGTTGGAATTCGATATAAGGGTAGGCCGTAGCGCTGCTGTCCAGACAAAATTTCCCTCATAGCACACTTTTCGGCATGTGCCTTTCTTCATTAGCCCAGTCAGAGCAGAACAAAAGGATGTTAAACCCCATTTCATTTCATTTTTCCAATTTTCTAAAACTGCTGTGGATATAAACTTTTAATATTTAAATGTATACTTTGTATTTTATAACATTCTTAACAGATATAGAAAGAGAGAGAAATGTGGGCTAACGTCCACTCGACAAAAACTAGGTCATTTCGGGACTAACATATGGTTCAATTCTATTTCAATAATTCGCCTGCGCGTAGGGACTCTTTAGCAGTGGTGGGAAACCGGAGGACCGGAGAAAACCCACGAGGTGGGACAGGCGACCCCAATCCTTGTCACGTACAACGGGGGAATCCAAACCACCCGAGTTGACTCAATGACAGACCTTATGATACAGGGCACACGTGCTAAGTATTCAGCCACCCACCCCACCGGGTCTTTTAAATAAAGTACATGTATAGATACGTGTAGTATATTTTGTTATATACTGGGCGCCATGGAAAACGCATCACTTTTTTTCCCCAAATATTTTATTACTAGGTGGTTTTGTATGTATAATATTTCACACAATGCTCCCACACGCAAAAAATATCGAACCGTGTGCAAAAATAAAATTGCACGAGATGCACATGAAAAACCCAATATTCACGTGCAGCATTGTGTGTGAGCCCTTTAAAAGCACGTTTTCAACTTAATGTGCAGTACATGAACTGTGAAACGTCAATCTGTCGTAATTTGTTGTTGGACGTGTGAAGGAATCGAGCTAGAGATGCCGAGACTTACTGAAAATCAACGGAATGAAGCCATGGTAATGTCCAGGACTGTCATGTCTACACGTGCTATTGCCAGACACTTCAATTGTCATCAGTCCACTATTGTAAGGTTGGTGGAACATGTTCGACTTACTGGATCAACACGTGACCGTCAACGTCCTGGTCCACACCGCGTTACAACCCAGGCTCAAGACCGCTACATCCGGGTCACTCATCTGTGTGACATATTCCGCCCAGCGACTCGAACAGGTGCAGCAGTCGTCGGAAAACAAAGACCAGTAAGTGCCAACACCGTAAGACGTCGTCTAAGAGAAGTAGGACTCCGTGCACGACGGCCTTATATTGGAGCTATCCTCAGGGATCATCACCGTCAGCGTCGTTTGATATGGACTGAAGGACACCAGACATGGAGAAGAGTAGACTGGCAAAGTGTGCTCTTCAGTGATGAGAGTCGCTTTCATCTTTATCACGCTGATGGCCGTCAACGTGTGTGGAGACGTCTTGGGGAACGTCTTGCAGACTGCTGCGTCTTCGAAACGAATCGATGGGGTGGGGGAAGTGTAATGGTGTTGAGAGGCTTCACATTTCATCACCGGACCGCCCTACACATTTGCAGGGGTCGCATTAATGCTGTAGCCTACCGCGATGATGGCCCGTGGAGGACACACGCGCTACTGACATTTGTGTAGTACTTTTGGTTTTGACCCCTCTGACTTTGTACCCTTGATTACAAATTAAACATCCATAAGTGTACAAATGTGTTGTTATTGATGTGTTCCCATTTGAATATTGTTCACAATAAGAAGCAAAATAAATAAGATATGTTTACAGGATATACGAAAAACTAAGTGATGCGTTTTCCATGGCGCTCTTTATATATAAGTTGTGCTAGATTTGTAACGTATGTGTGCAATCACATTTAGAATTCTGAATGGTTATGGGTAATTAGAGATAAATGGAATGTAACATCCAACAGACATAAACTGTCATTTAGGGATAAGTAATTCAATTCAAGTTCAAGAACTCTTACCAGGAGTCTTTAGTAGTGGGGGGGGGGCAGAGAAAACGCACATTTAAATTTGGTATCGAAACTAAACCACTTGACTGAATGACAGACATTATGATCTAAAGCGCACACGTTGGACCTCTCCAGTCACGCTCACGGATTGACTGTATATCCCATTTACTACCGCAAATAATGGTTATATGTTCATAACTTTGCTCATCAAAATTTGACATTAGATTAACGGCCAAAAATAATGTTTATTTAATGTTAGATTTAGGATAACGTCATTTTCATACATCTAACGTAAAGTTTACGTCATTTTCTAACGTTAATCTAACCTAAGTGACGCAAACTTTACGTTAGATTTACGTCAGAAAATGACGTTAATATAACGTTAAAATGAGGTAAAGTTTACGTCATTTTCTAACGTTAATCTAACCTAAGTGACGCAAACTTTACGTTAGATTTACGTCAGAAAATGACGTTAATATAACGTTAAAATGACGTAAACTTTACGTTAAATTATCGTTGAAAAAATGAACAAACTGAAAGTAATTTGATCAACCATTTTACGTACATTTTACGTTAATTTAACGTCATAATGTTATGTGGGGAGGCACAAGCGAATTGTTACACTAAAATTGAACAATATGTTACTCCCGAAATTACCTAATTTGTGTCGAATACGTTAAACCCAATTTCTCTCTTTAAAAACAGTTCAGCCGCTATAGTGTGGTTTATCCTTTTCTACCCTGTTTCCTGGGGATATGTCGTGTCTCTCCAGTTAACTTAGTAATAGTAATAGTAATTAATTAGTACTTACCTCTGACAACCGTTACATACAACATATATATCAAAATTATGTAACTCTTCATTATGCTTAACATATATTAAACAAGGAATTAATTATGTAGAAACGTTAAAACACACACATTAATCAACCAGACATATGTCGCCTAATATCAAAACTAGACATTAAACAAAAAAAAAACCCACACGCCATTATTGATTCACCGGTTGCCATGTCACCAATAACCAATTAAAGTGGTAGCGAAACAATTTAAAACTAAGGAGATAAATCCTTCACTGCATAGGGGAAGGTTGCAACCTGATACCCGTTACTACTTATAACCTACACACCCTGACCCATATTCGTCATTGCTTTTAACTTTATGGGATGGATTGTTTTGACGAGGATTTCATTCAACGAATCTACTGGGTAAATCCGAACGAGACCTGTATGTAATTAGTGATTGTTCGTATGCAATTATCATGCTGAATAATTGCATAATACAAGGTATGTGCCGGGCATTTTTTTAAATATAATCGACTAATCATAATAGCTTAATGTCCTTACAACCTATTATAGTCTGTTCGAATTATTCTCCAAATTTACAACCAGGATTTATCAAAAAAAAATGAAAACGGCTTATTTATCAAATACTAAGTGAATATATTAAAAAACTATAATATTGCCTTAATAATATGTTATTGTACAACGGACATCGGCAACACAGGGGTACACTATTTGTGGGTGTGGCACATGAATGGATTTATTTAGTTGTACTGTTATATTGCAATAATATATTCTGCTCATTTGTTCGATATAACGAATATCTGTATAGCAAGTGCCACCGGGAACTGTCTATGGCGTCATCGCAGCCGCCTTGGAACTGTGACGTAATTAAATCGAAGTTCGTGAAACGATGCGCCATGGTCCAAGGAACACGCCTTTCATGGTTTCAAGTTGATTGAACATTAATTTGACGGGCGTTGAACTTTTTACGACCCCATTTCTCATCAGTAACAGTTTGGCGGGGAAAAGTGTTACAAATGTCCCGGACCCCTACATTTGGTTTTGAGTACATGATTCTGAATAGATAAGATTGTCTAGTGATCGTAACTGGATCGTAATGGTTTTTCATATAACCCTTTATTGGTCACTCTTAGTCTTTAAAAGAACTGGACCTCCCGCTTTCTTTTCGTAATTCGACCCCACCCCATTGCCTGGTCCAGGGTCCCCGCACACGGTTCATCCGGACCCGTTTCGTACTCTCAATATAGGAATGAATTTTTATTTATTTCAGAAATTAATGATGTTCATCAAATTTACTGTAATACTATTTATTTTTTACTTACTTGCCAACGGTGAGCGATATTAATTGAATAAATTGTGTCAAAGATTGCTGTAAAATGCTATTACACATTGTTTCATGACTGTTTTTCATTTCTTAAAGTAGCATAAACAGTTTTGTATTTGGAACTCGCATTAAGTGAAAATATATGGTACATTACACAGGCCAGCAGTACACAGTTCTTCCCTGGATATCAGATCCAGAAATGACATAAGGTTTTGCGAACTAACTCCCGCCGTCAATCCACGAGAAAATGTAAAATAAACACATTTGCAATTAGTGGGTATGTACCGCAAAATATACCCTTGTCTCTATGGGTTGAGATGTCAAAATTGCTTCCCAATGGTTTGTTCAATGTTATGTTATGTTGGTTCTGAAGACCGATCTAAAACTTTGTATATATTATTGACTACAGTCAAAATGATTAACTGTACTTAAAAGTTTCAGGATCGATTTGGTTCAGCAATGATGATGTTGACGATGTTGTTAGTATGAATGGACTAGATGTTAATCTAACATGGAAAATCATGGAAACAAACTACAGAGATTCAATTACTATAACAAAAGATGGGGTAAGTTATTGCAAAACCTTTATCACAAGATGGCATACAGGTACGAGAAGGTACGATGAAGTACATACATAATCCTAAAACAAAAAGACAAAAGTATGAGGGTAGATATTAGACAGTATAATTTAATTTGTGCTTGTTTGGATGCATGTTCGTTTTTGGTATTTTATTTTGGCTTGCATGTTTGAAAAACTTGGAGGCCGCGGTTGCTTACTAGCACAGAGATCCAAGGTTGGATTCCAAGAAACTTCGCCGAAATTTTCCAGTGTGGTTCCGCATATTATTGGTGCTGGGCTGTACGGAAGGTATCGCAAGGACAATATATAGTCATTCGGATTTGATGGCGAACCAAGTTACCGTGTACACATGGTTGGAATTCGAATTGAGAGTAGACTGTAGTTCCGCTCTTCAAACAGAATTTCTCTCATAGATCATATGTTATATGTCCATATTCATTAGTCCAGTCGGTACAGATAACGTTAAACCTCATTTCATTTAAAAGAAATGTAAACTGTTTTGACTTTTATTTCAGTGTAACGTCAATTCTGCGTTGATCAAGACTATGGACCCTAACCATACAATAATAACTCTACATTTAACTCATGTTCAGATGGACGACAGTGGTACTTATAGATGTACTCTAGGATTGTGGAACACACGTTACAAAGATGTTAATCTCACTATTATTACTGGTACGTGCAATTTACTAAAACTATTTGAAGCGACCACAAAAGTAAGGAAATTGTATATCTATTTACTATTCGTCGGAAGGTCACACGAATTTCCTTGTTAACGACAACCTGTGATTATGCACGCAACATCTATGGAAATAAGGCATGGAAACAACGTTTATGAAATGAACTTTATCACCATAATAGATTCCCAAGTATATGTTCATCTAAGCCAAAATGTCAAGGAAATGTATTGTATATGAGCAGTAGGCTATAATTATCAAAATTAGATTCATTATATTGAAATATATGAGCAGTAGGCTATAATTATCAAAATTAGATTCATTATATTGAAATACTTAAATATATTAGTTAACTTGCACCATAAGGCTATCTTTTTCTTTTTCAAAGATCTGAATATAGAGTGGGATATTACACCCATAAAAGATCGTTTAGCAAAGGATGTAACCTTGACATGGAGATTCAAACAGATAACAAACAAAAAGACATTATCTATTTACAGGAAACAGACTAAAAATGTAAGTGCAATTATTGCTTTATCTGTGGAATGAATAAAAATATACCATATACAAAAATAATAGGAAAACTTATAACGACTATTATTCACTAGTTGTGGAATGTATATTTAATTTAAGGGATAAAGGAAATGTGTTAATGATTATATTTTACAAGGAGAAGATACTATCAATATTTCCCGATGGTTCTGGGCAGATCAAACGGGGATTGTCGGATGTCAACATTACAGTGAGTAGTGATGATATAACAGAGACGGTAGCCTTTACCATATACAACACAACATCTGTAGATTTCAGCTACTCTTACAGCTTAAAAATAGAATTCAGGGAAACACTATACAAGCAAACTGAGTATATTGAAATTATTGAAGGTAAGTTCAAATTTAAAACAAAAAATATGATTTATAAATGAGGTGGGAATAATTCTCTACTTATGAAAAATCTCGGTACTATTGACCACAGTTTAATCATTAAAACGTAAAATCAAAGGTAACGACTATGCACACGTTTACATGCTCCGTTCATGTTTAATATATATTGTTAGAGCTAAATGAAAATGGGGGATCTTTTCAACGAATCAAACTGGTTTACGGACTTCTTGTACTGGTCTTGGTCGTCGTTGTGATTGCTTTTCTTTCAGCATTTTCATTTTATCGTAAGTAGTGTCCTTCATTTACATATTGGTTTATTCGTTTGACAATTTAATATTACAATAATATTGAGAACATAACATAATTATATTTCTATCACAAGAACATATTTATGTTTAACAAATTGTCTCTTAAAGTAAAGATCTTTACAGGCCGAAATGATATCAATGGGATATCCCCATGATTGCATGATTTTATCTCGATTTCCTCCTTTGTGTAGTGATGAAAAGACCACATCGCACAGCTAACACGGGGATGACCAGTAATGCAGCTAACGATGCGATAAACAATTCATATGAGTCAGTCAATACTGCGGATATTATAACTGACAACAATCAACTGATGGTATTCGATTCATCTTCACCCGACCTTGACCCATATCTCAACCCGTACAATGAAACAAATAGAACTGAAACAGAAAGCGATAAACACGATTATATGCAACTGAAAATCTGCACATCTATTTGTGAGGGTGACATAATAAATGGGGATGTTGAGGAACAAAATGAGGACAGTGATACTCCATCTTCGCATGACTCTGAATCATATTTCCACATGTACGATCAACCAAATAGAACTAAAACTGAGTGCGATAAACACGATTATACACAACTGAAACGATGCACCATATTTTGTGATGTTAACAACGACGATGTTCAGGAAATAAATAATGACAGCGATGGTAGATCAGGAAACGGCATCGATTCATTCAATTTGTCTACTCATGTTGGTGCTATCGATTCCCGAATTCAAAATGAAATAAACTCCACATACATAACTCCAGTATTTGAAAGATATTGATTTTGGATAGTTTGCAAAAACCAAAGAACAAAATTGTGTGCATGGCATGGTTGGCTTCCAAAATAAAATAAAACCAAGTACGAACAATCCAAATAGTTTATCCAGCATATGGACGGTTCACCGTTTTCAAAATTATACAACAAAACTGTGTTTATAGAGTGTAGATTATACTGAGAAAGAAGAAAAGTCATAAGTTTGCCGAAATATTTACCAATTTAAATTAAAACAATTGTGATTTCATAATCTTTAAAGCTTCCTTATAACTGAACTGTGTAAGTGTATAATATGTGTTCATAAATATCGCATAATTTAGTGTGTGTGAATATGGACGCAAAACGGATCATTATCACCAAAACCAGCAATGAACTCTGGCGCTTTGCTAAGACCCCATATTGTGTGGTAACTATACCATTAATGTTTTTGTTAAATCTGTTGTTTTATTATTTGTAATAGTTATTAGTAAGAACTGTTCGGTCAATGCTTGCGTCATGGGTGGCCGGAGATTTTGTTAAATTTACAAGAGCATTTAGTATTATTAGTAGTGTTCTCAGCGTTTACCCTTGTTTTTATTATTTTAGTGATGTTCGCAGGTTTGTTAGCGACACCTTTCTTGTTATCGTTACATTCGTTTTTATTATTTGAGTATTATTATACTATATGTACGACACCGTACCAGTAATTAATTCTCAATTAAGGAGATTAACTACCCTTGGATAATTTTAGATGAAAATGATGGAGATACCGAAAATGTAGAACCTTTAGTTTGAATTTGGTCGTCAATATTATTTCATCGATAATAGGTATTTCGTATGATGTTATATATCATGAACAGTGTTTGCAGAAATTAAATCCTTAAGATCCAAGGAGATCACGGCGGATACAATAGGAACTTTTGTAAACCTAATATTCCCCCAAAGGGCAAATACATGCTTATTGTAGATGCTTCACTTGAGAGGAATTACTGCTGAATAACGCATTACGATAGATAGTAAATATAGAATATTATAATCAATAAAATGTTAAAAACAAGTCCAAATAGGCAATGTTGCAAAAATGATTTTTGGTAAAATCCAGAAAGATCACTGCAGACAATAGGAACATTTGCTAAATTAATGTCCCCCCCACCAAACTTCGCTTGGGAGGAATTACAGCTGAATAAATGTTAAACTTCAAATCATAGAATATCGGATGTCCGAGATATTATATGGATTATAACACGCGCGCCAGTAATGGTGACTCAGTTGGCTCGCTAACCTAGAGGTCCCGTGTTCGAACCATGCGTTGGTTGGCCGAGAAGATCACCTGGATTATCCGGCGAGATTTCCTATGGTGCAGGACCGAGGGCCTTGGGAAATGAATTTTCCAGTCTTGAATAAAAAACTGTATTTGTGCTTGTTTTTACCACCAACTTAAATACTTCATCTCATTATCCAAACTTTGCAGTTACATAATGCACTCTCTTCTTAATATGCAACAGTATTTTCATAATTATACGAACCTCTCTTCGCAATATGTAGCCCCATAACACCTCCTTAGTGGGGATGAGCTGTATGTCCGATAGCAGTATATGCAGGGGGGGGGGGCACCCGCTATTAATTGCAGAAAAAAATTGAATGGCGTTCAATTGGATTAGTCGTGGCAAAGGGGTTAATGTGGTTTAATTTCCAGCACAAAATCCATTCTAAAAGTACCTGTTCATGGATCATAAATGTAATACGCCGGGTTTTCAGTTTCCACGAAACCCACATCCACGATAGCCACATTCTATGGGATTTTGCGATTCATCCGTTGACTGCATTCCCCGAGAAAAACTGTCTACGCACTTTTAAAACTAAATATCTATACACCACACTAACAAGCCTTTATTAAATAAAGGATCGTAAAAAAAGATGTTCATGATTAAGACAGATTGGGTTACATTTACCACAATGGTATCCACACACAACAGTTGACATATTAATATCACAGGGATTATATTTCTTTAGAAGCTCGCATATTGAAACATGGTTTTTTTTGCGGGGCGAATAGTTGTAAGAACGCGTAAAAAAATGGGAAAACACTAGTTTCAGTTCTATTTCCGAGCACACAGGACATAATAAATTGCTACATCGTATTACCCGAATATAATCCGGTATCTATTGTGAATCACACGGAAATTTAGATGTTAGTTTTTAACTGACCTGGTTTATTTTTTGTTCGTATATTCCCCGTCAATTAAATAACATATTCAAAGAATTTGCGAAGCCTCTTTATTAGGGTTTCACGCTATGTAGCTTGTGCGAAACACTACTGATATTGTATGGATTCTTCTTTTTATACGTCAACATTTATAATGTGGACGTGAGACAGAGAAATGGGGATTGACGTCCACTCGACACACAAACTTGGTCATTTCGGGACTAACATATGGATCAATTTTATTTCAATAATTCGCTTGCGCGTAGTGGTCTTTAGCTGTGGAAGAAAAATCGGAGGGCCCGGAGACCACCCATGAGGTTGGACAGGCGACCCTACTCCTTGTCACGTAAAACCGAGGAATCGAAACCATGAAAGTTGACTTAGTGACACAACACAGACGCGCTGACCAATCTCCCCCATCTCAATTATACCCAATTATAACGTGGAGTTACTATGCCGTAGCCCCTGTCTCTGTGTGTGTCGCCTACAGGGCGCATTTTCTTTACGGATCATCTTGAAACTTTTCATTATATTCCCTATATGCTAAGTTGACCTCTATTATTTTTGGTCTGTGTGGCACCTACAGGCGCAATTCTAAACAGATCCTTTTGAAATTTTGCATACATATTCCTTATACCCTAAGGAGGATCCCTATTGGTGAATGTGTGACCCCCAGTGACAGAGTCACACCCATTTTTACATTTGTCTGTGTTGCCTACAGTCCGCAATTCCTACTGGATCACCTTGGAACTTGGCTTTCTTCGAAAGGCGGGGGACAAAATTCTTAAAATGTCAAATTATGTATGTGTAATTATTTGGCTAACTTTAGCCATTGCACCCCACCACTAACAATGTCTGTCAGAGTGTTTTTGTAATACTTGAAGATGTAAGGTACACTGCTGCACCATTTTCATGCGGTACACCTTTGAGCTAATCTAACTCAAGAATTCATATCCAGAATCTCAGCCCTCAAAGCCACATCCACCACCAGATACCCGGCTGACTTACATTCTGTCTGATGATAACATATAAGTAAAAATTGTTACATTTTCCAGCTAGACTGCCCCGCCCACCCCCGGGCTCCTGATCTACCACTTGTTAATGGATTGTCTAGGACCTTAAAGGGATATTAATTGTCATCTTGTATCATCGTCTAATCCTTTAAAGGTATATTGCATGCAACCATAGGCGTACGAACAAATGGGGTGGGGATGTCTGCCGCCCCCCGCCCCCTAACTTTGGGCAATCTGACTTTTCGGGCAGACATGTAAAGTGAAAACAAAATAAAGAGCCCGAAGTCTAATAAAACACTAATTTTACTTTTCAATTTAACTGAATACCACGATTTATTACTGAATTGACTATGTATAAAATATTTTGTTTGGAGCTATTCTATTTTGTGCCAAATAGCTGCAGCAATCTGATTGGTAAATGGGCATACAGTGAGTTTTCGGTTGCAAACCGATTGGAAGCTTTAAAGTTGTTTAATTCACTGGCTAGAACAGCAGAAATACGGATTTGCGGCGGTTAATTTTCTAAATTTTCTCAGGGAACGCGGGGTCCCATACCCCACAATGATTGTTTGGGATCTGGGATTAAGGTAAGTCATCTAACATTAAACTTGATGTATTCACGGGCTGGAATTTCCTCCCGACGGTTCTATCTCTCCGTCCTCCTCCTCCCTTTAGCATTCATCTTTGGACCACTTTAAGTCTATATTTATCTAATATCTCTATATTTATCATGGTAATATGACACCGGTGAACCACTCTTCATAAAAGGCTTTGGTTATTCAAACATGTAAAAGTCACGCCATGATCCAAATTTATAAATATGAATTAGGCGAAGCATATATTTATCGTTGATGTTAAACATACGTATACAATTTCATACACCGCCTTCTTTAAATTATATATTATTATTGGCATACTTATTCAACAAGGAAGTTACTCAAAGCAGGGAACTATTAAAATGGGTTCGTCCGTCCGTCCGTCTGTCTGTCCGTCACACTTTTTGGGACTCAATAACCCTCTTTCTAATTGAGCTAGAATGTTAAAACTTGGTGTAGGGTGTTTATTAGGTCAATGCCTTGATGGAGTGTAAAGACGAGCATTTTCTGCTTAGGCTAAGCGGAGATAAGCAATTTGATTGGTTGATGTTTTGGTACACGATAACTTTAGTGAGAGTGATGAAATTTGGTGTATAGTTTTATTACGTTAATACCTTGACTAAGTTCGATAAAAAGCATCTTCTGTTCAGGGTAAGCAGAGCGATAAGCAATTTGATTGGTCGAGAGTTTGCAACACAATAACTCTCATTCTAATTGAGCTAGAATGTTCACACTTGGCGTAGGTGTTTATTAGGTGAATGCCTTGATGGAGTTATGGTAAGCAGAGATAAGCAATTTGATTGGTTGATGCTTTGGAACACGATAACTTTAGTTCTAATTAAGTGAGTGATAAAATTTGGTGTATAGTTTTATTACATCAATACCTTGACTAAGTCCGATAATGAGTATCTGCTGCTCAGGGTAAGCAGACCGATAAGAAATAACCATCATTCTAATTTAGCTAGAATTTTCACATTTGGCGAAGGTGTTTATTAGGTGAATGCCTTGATGCAGTTCGAAAATGAGCATTTTCTGGTTAGGGTGAGCAGAGATAAGCAATTTGATTGGTTGATGCTTTGGGGCACGATAACTGTCGTTCTAATTAAGTGAGAGTGACGAGTGTATAGTTTCATTACATCAATACCTTGACTAAGTTCGATAATGAACATTGTCTACTGAGTGTATGCAGCGCGATAATCAAATTGATTGGTCGATACTTTGGAACACAAAAACTCTTCTTCTAATTGAGGTAGAATGTTAAAACTTGGTGTAGGCGTTCATTGGGTGAATGCCTTGATGGAGTTCGATGATAAACATTGTCTGCTTTCGGTAAGCAATCTGATTGGTTGATGGTTTGGGACACGATAACTTTGTTTTTAATTAAGTTCGATGATGAGAATTTTCTGGTTAGGCTAAGGAGCGATAAACATTTTGATTGGTCAAGACTTTGGAACATAACAACTCTGCTTTTAATTGAGGTAGAATGTTTAAACCTGATGTACATGTCCATTAGGTGAATGTCTTGACTAAAGCTAAGCAAAGCTGGGCAGAGCTAAGCAATTTCATTGGTTGATGCTTTGGGACAAGATAACTTTGATTCTAGAGAGAGTGATGAAACTTAGTGTATAGTTGATAATCAGTTTGATTGCTTCATAATTTTGAAAAAATAAATGTGTTATTAATTATGTGTCATCTAACTATTTTGGCTTGTATTTTTACACATGTGACGGGGTTATGTTTGACTTTCCCGTGGGCTACGAATGTCACGAATCCAAACTTTTTCCGATTCGTAGATGTTCGTGAATGATTCTTATTTGGTTCTTGCGTATTCGTATTGTTCCTAGCAGTTCGTCGCTCGACCACGAACGTGTTTGTTTGTCAAAAACTTTCGTGGCCGGTCTACAAAATTCGGAATGTGAAGATATATCGTAAATCCATCGTAACACTTTCGTATCGTCCGTATCAGCTTCCTATTCGATTCTTGAACATTCGTGGTTATTCGTGGCTCCCTTAAGTTCGCGAAACCTACTCGGAACTATTACAAATCGACTACCAATTTCTCGACTATATAAATGCCCCGCTTTTGCGCGGGCTACGAATGCAACAAATCGCTCCGAATAGTGGCGAATCGAAATTCGTGGCGATTCGGTGAAAAAAATCGTTGAGAATCGGCAGTAGCTACAAAGCCGTTACGA